TTAAAACTACATATTGTCTCCAAATTCGCAGTTATGCATTGCCTTCTGTTAGCTTATGGTATAAAATCTAAACAAATGGTATCAGAGTTTGTGGGTGTAAGGTGGCGAAATGTGAAAAAATTCACATACATTAATCTTCATGCGCCACAGTAACCAGCGAACCTTTTCACCTCAGTACAAACAGATTAAAGATTCCTCATCTGGCAGATTGCATCACAGCAATCCACTCTGCCCCACTGATCCTGAACAGCAACACTGGCCAGCTACCCAAGAGACTGTCTGGTCTGGAGCACAGATGTCTCATTTCAGAGGACACACTAAATCCCCAACCGTGTTTCCATTGCATTTTACTGTTGTACCAGAAAGACTACATGTTTTGAAAACCTCATAAAAGTCATTTTCAATAAAACAGAATATAAGTCGCAATAAGACTTGTTTGTATAATAACGTTTAACTATTATTACACATACTTTTCCTTAAGTGCAAATTTGTGTATTAAAAATCTTTTCCTTTTTGTAATGGTGATGTATTATTGTTTAATAACATCTAAAATAATATCGGTGAAAAAAGCGAATTACCGTAAAAGAAATGAAGGCTTGAAAACTTCAGTCTATGTGGAATAAATGTATATTATGTGTTGACTTACTATAATAAACTATAATACTATAGCAAACATCACATGTAATCTATATTAATAGACTTGGACCCTCTCTTTGGAGAAGTAGATTCTTGTATTTGCATATTTATCCACCATGGTTTTCTCACAACGGCGATTCATAGGTTTCAATTCTTAGCTGTTCAGTGAAGCTTTGTTCACTCAGCATTTCCTTGGTGGATTCATTAGTGCACATATGAATGTTACCTAGATTAACAGTTGAATTTCCATTCAGCTTCAAAACAGATGGCCTTTGAATGTTTCGTTTCATTGGTTATTTTTTCCTCTCAGTGATTTTATGCTGCACTGATTCGCATGCAGCAACAAACCACCCACATGTTTTATCGTTTGTTGGAGGTTTTCTGTATGAAAAGGTATCAGGTCAAATAATTTCAAACTCATCTCTGGTCTTTTTTCTGTATTTTCTGGATGCTTATTAGGTTTTTCTTTGTAGACTGCAAAGGTATTTTTTTTCTTTATGCTTCTAGCTTTGAGTAATCTCTTTCATGTGCAAAAGCAGGTGCAAAGGTAGCCTATAGCTCTTGCAATTAATCTTCAGTCTCATGGGAACTTTTAATAAATATTTTACTTGGGAAGAATTTACAGAGATAGCATGTAAGGGAATGCAATATAATTCAATTCAGATTATTTTTATAGTACTAGTGTCATCTCAAGAGATTCAATAAAAAACAGAAAAATACATAATTGCTGTAGCCAATCATATCACCAGATTCAGATATTTAAGAACATTTATTTTAATTGCATTCTAGTTTGAAGACAATGCTGAAAAGTTCTGTTTATTTTGCAAAATGGTATCAAAAATTGTTATCCGATCCTTTGAGGAGACTCGTTATGCATAAAGTACTAAACTTTCAGTACAAGATGGCCAGCTTATCATTCAGTTTACAATAAAAAGAACACAACGACATTGTACATTTTACAACTTCAACTTCATTGTAGCACACACAATATAAATATTGAGAGCACAGCACAAGCAACGCACAACACAAGACGTGACATGAATCGATCCCTTTCACAAAACAACTTATTTTTTCACATTTAAATCAGCATAAATTTTTGTTTTATGCAGCTCTCCGCATGCAGCAAGATGAAAAACATTGTGACTTAATGTGCAACATCTTATGAGTAATCAATTTCCTAATGAAACCATTTTAATTTTGACCTAATTCTGGGCGAAGGACAATCTTTGGATTGGGACTAGGACAAAGAAAGACAGAAAGCAAGTAAATATGCCGTCCCCATTGTCCAGAAAAGGGAGACGTCACTTTAAAAGATTGGAAGAAAGATTAAGTGCAGAGAATTCAGAGATTAGGGGAAACCCAAGGATGTTGCATAGTGATGCATTTGATTTTTCTGTAGACTCAGTTTCATTGCAGTCCAATTTTATTCATCATTTGCTTTTCATTGGATGTGCTTATGTTTTTACTGTAAGCTTTCGAAAACAAATCCAACCTCATAGTTTTTAATATAATACTAAATGCCTCTTTATATGTTGCCTTTACTGAATGAATACTGTAATTCATTGCTCTTAAAGAGCTGAATAAAAGTGACAAAAACTTCTATAATTATATCTATTTTTAGCTAATAGCTTATAATTGCATCCCATCAAGCTCAGGCAAGTGACACCATGTAACCTTTCTTACGTGACAGCCATCAATGTAAAATGTGTTAAAGCAACACAGCACAACGTTAAAGACGTTGACTCATTTATGTAGTGCTGACAGCTTCAGGGATACAACTTTATTTCCTCTGCCTAACGGTCATTGACAGCTAACGCGTGGAGCACGTCAGAAACGAAAGCAGGAATGAGTCACATGAGTTCAAGTAAAGAGAGTTGTACCAGAGATAAAAGTGACCTGTTTTAGATGAGCTGCTCTGGGAAATTTTTTTTGCCTTACATGCAGCAGTTTGCAAAATTTTGCACAGTCTGAGCTTTGAGAAACATTTGCAATATGAGAGCAACACAGTCGGAATACAAAGAACAGTTTATTTACACACATATATCATTTCAGACAGAATAAATAGTGCTGGGAAAATTTATATAAAATAGAGTGTACAATCTTCACATATGAGTAGCAACCGATTAACATGAATGAAGACTGAATTTAAATGAATGAAGCTACTTGTTTGTTTTACACAGTAAACACACTAGTCAGAAATCGCATATACTGATCAATTCTCTTTGGAATAAAAATACATCATATGCTTTACTTTCACCCTTTTGTAATCTGATATATATTTTATATGACACAACAGGTACAATTGGCTTAAAATCACCACAACTCAGGGAAATAAAATCAAAGCGCTAGCATATAAAAGTTCAATGTTTAATCAACAGAGACAGAATGTCAATGTGTTCACTTTTTATTATTTGCAAGAAAGTAAAATGATTACATGGCTGAATTGAATTATTTTGAGGAAGTGAAGGATAATAAATTCATATTTTCTGAGATTGCAAGATGCTATTGATTGGATGCTGTTACAGCACACTTATCTTCACTCATACTGAGCTGCTGCTGTGGGGAAAATAGATGTTTAATATGTCAATGTTTGGTGTGTGTGCATATGGGAGTGTGGAGGGGGAGGTTAGTATATGTACTTCTAATAGTGCTATAGATATGGACTATGTCAGAAACAGCCTAATAATCCATGCAAACATGCAATAAAATCTAATCAAATAAGACTATAAATTATGTGTGATGAGGGGGAATAAATCAGGGAATAAGTATTGAAATTTTGAAGAAAAAAAACAAAACGTAAAAAGCCATTGCAAGTCAAGCATATAATTGAATGTTGTTAGTATTTAGAATGTGGTCCTCTAAGAGCAAATTAATATAAACTTTTTGAGTCCCAGTTTATGGGCTACTCACTCCAGACCATTACTACATTATTGTAGCAAAACATGCTGACAGCTTTGGTGAAAGGCGATTTTTGAAACTTCTGAATACTCAATTGAGCACCATTAACCCAGACCTCAGAATATTTATTGTATGATAGATGTGTTAAACTAAATGATGAGAAGAGTTTTCCGAAAGTCAGAACTGCTCAGAGAAAGTGTCAGAAAGGCCTGGAAATAGCAGAAACAGATTTGTTCTCTATGAAAACAATAAGCAATGAATTCAAGCAGCATGACCTCACTGCCCAAGCCTTCAATGCTGTGGAATTTTGTTCAAAATGTGCCGCAGATCACTAGCACAAGCTGATGAAATGTTAGGAAACATATTCTAGATCAAATGAGAACAACATTTATCTTCTTGGATGTCATTAAATGGAGATTAATGACATGCAAGTCATGGTGGTGGAGATATGGCAATAAATGACCAACCAAAAACAACAATACTGAAGTTAGAAGAAGGGAAGATCATGATGTGGGGCTTTTTGCTGCATGTTGTACTTTCTGAAGAAAGGATTTCACGGAACATATTAGAAAGGAATCTGAAACGAGGCCAGATTTTTCTGAACGATAATGATCCTAACCACATAGCCATTGTTGTCAGAGGAAGAAAATCAAGCTGAAAGATGAGCAGAATAGCACTGTTGCCTTGCAGCCAGAAGGTCCTGGGTTCGATTCCTGGCCCGAGGTCTTTGTGCATGGAGTTTGCATGTTCTCCCTGTGCATGCGTGGGTTCTCTCCGGGTACTCTGGCTTCCTCCCACAGTCCAAAAACATGAATGTCAGGTTAATTTGTCTCTCTAAATTCTCCCTAGGTGCGAGTGAGTATGTGCATGGTCATTTGTCCCGTCTGTCTCTGTGTTGCCCTGTGACAGACTGGCGACCCGTCCACAGTGTACCCCACCTCTCGCCCCGAGAGCATTAGCTGGTGATAGGCACCGGCACCTCCTGACCTCACTAGGGACAATGGCGTACAAAAATGGATGGATGGATGGATGAAAATGGGCAGAATCACAAAACATTATCAAATTGAAAATCTGTTGAAAGATCTCAAGATCAGGTGTATGGCAGAAGATCCAAAAACCTTCAAGTTTTAAGGACATTTTGTGTGTAAGGATAAGTTATTCACACCTGACCAATAAAAGCTGCATACAACACGGTCACTGAACCACGTAGTGAGCACATTTCAGTAAGCACCTTCAATACTTCTCGTCTACGCCACTCTTTAGACTTATATGTTTTTATTTATATATGGATTACTTGGGTTGTTGCCAACATTTGATGCAAACTTCATGTCAAACAGCCCAAAAAGAAATTAGTTGGGTGTGAAAAAATTCTACATGTTCAATATTTTCCCTGCTGTATAAATGTCATCTGCAACAGAGCAGACAAACAGGACCTAGATTAAGAAATGAATCAAAAGGAAAGCATATCTTTTTCCCCATAAGTGCAGTTTTATGATTTTATGATTCAATGATAGATATCTTCATACAATATAAAAATATCAACAACCAGAGACTAAAACAGGCACTCTTTCGCTCACACACACTCACATTGATTAACACAAGCACAATGGTGAACAAATCCTTGTAACTTCTCCCTGTCTGCTGGTTAGGCTTTGTAGGCAACATCAATTATTTCTATGAAGTCTAACTAACCCCTGGTTATGCATAATTTTGATTGGCCATACCTTGTGCTAGATTTGTATAAAAATATATAAATTAATATAATGTTCCCCCTTTTACATAAAGCTGAATTGGTAAATTCAGTTTTATGAATTCAACAATTCATAAAAGTGAATTGCTAAAATACACATTACATATATATTTTTGAAAGATTAAGGCCTACTTTTAGAAATTCTAGAGCACTTATTTAACACACTTTGAATTGTAGGCTACAATGACTTGATCAGACTTCACTGAACCTCTTCCACAGTAAAATGGGACAATTATGCTGTATAATGGTTAATATCTGTGGGTTGCGTTAATGAATACAGCTCAGACAAGAGAATAACTTTTGTTCACATAGCACAACATTAGCCTTTTACATGCTAAGTAGTTAGCGGAAACTGTAACATATTGACCGAAGAATCATTCATAAAGTTATTACAGACAGGCCATGTTTTATTTATAATGTGTTTATATATATATAGACTGAATTAAGTGAACCTTGTGAGGTTGTTGTCTTTATTTTCTACTAGTTTACCAATCCAGGTTCATTCTTTTCAACCTGCTCTTTGGTAGCCTTCATGTTAGTCACTCTAACTCCTTGTTTGGGTTAAAAACATATTCCAGTATACAGAGACAGAACTCTAACGCTTTATTTGCCCACAAAAAAATATATTTTCCCAATGAAAAATAAATTTCCATCCTGAGCAGGCTATAATAAATACTCTTATATAGCTGACTGTTTACATTCTGAAAAGGCTTAGATACACTCACGTTATCTCTTCCAGTTGTAAATATACAGTATGACTATGCTCCCTTTCACAGAACCTTCAGAAAAATCTATACAAGAGATGTTCTACCTGTGCAAAAACACTTCATATTTTCAGGGAAAATCTGTACGTGTCAGTAAACACTTAAGATGAGAAGATATTTCCGGAGATTGTCACTAAGCAATCTAATAACCCAGCAGCACTCTGAAAGCAAAATAATAAACAGAAAAAAACAACGGCACAAAAACACAACAATGTGCAACTTCAAGCTTTGGGCACTTCAAATGTTGAGGTAGCAAACAAATCACATTTAACATGACTTATGTCGCATGGCTCTTTCTATAAAAAGGAAAGTCAGTTGCCTGGATGTCTTTGCAGAAACCTTCCACCGATTCCCCACTTTATACAAACCTTTGGCAACAAAAACAAAACGTGTTTTCCTCCTGAAAAGTGAATTCTGATTTTTTCAGGTTTATCTCATGACACCAGTGCCAGCACCAGTCATGATCTGCAGGGCAGCAAGCCAAACTCGTCCTTGATGTCTTTGATTCCAGACAGTTGAGACACAGTTTTCTTGACTCGCAGCGCAGTCAGTCGCGCAGCAGCATTGGCATACCAGCACTCTCTCATCAGCTTTCCCATCACACGCAGAGCCTGGTAAAGTAACAAGACATCATTATTAAAAAGATGATCTGACATCTATCATAAAAACAGAAAGCATAACCTTCATTAACGTAAAAATGCCTACATTAACTTAAAACAGCAAAAATATTCAGTAAATGATGCAACCTTGTCTCTAATTGAATTGTGAAAATTCAGTCTTGACCCATGTTTGACCCAGCCTGTATTTTTTGACTCCAGCTGGGAATTGCATTTGACTCCTTTCCACCTGTATCTTATGACAACTTCACCTCGCAGGAATCACTGGACAATTCTAGACTAAAATACTCATTCTCCACTGCGGCAAATTACAGCCAGGCTGGGCCTGACAGAGCTCTTTTCATTTTCTGGATTGGGTGCTAGTCTGTTATGTCTCAAAGCTTCTGCCCTCAAAGGACATTTTTTTTCTAACTTCCTCCTCACTGGACAAATTGGGGTATAAACATTTTGCCTCCTCAGTTGAGTTTTGAGCTTGCAGGCTGTGTTGCTGCTACTTTTGTCTTGAGTGTCCATTGTGTTATGCACTGATCCACAAATTTGTTGTTTACACATGATGTCATCAGCTGCATTCTAGCTTTTTAGAGGGTTTCACATATGTCTTGCTTTTGAACAAGAAAATGATTGTAAACACCCCTATGACTACTGAGAAGAAAATACTGCAAGAATCTCTTGACTGTCTGTTGACTTGTCTACTAGAGGACATTAAACATACTTATGGCCACCGCTGCCAATAAATATTTGGTCTTACCTCACAACTCTGCCACTGATTGGGAATGTTTGGTCTGAGTTTCTGATCACATACAACTTTTTTCATGTCCTCAATGGATGGATCTGAAGGCACCATGTCATAGTAAGGCAGTTGAAAATCTTCATGAAGTCCTATGGTAGTGAAACACAAGAAAATTATGTTAATGGACATGTACATAATCAGATAATTATATCGATAATTTACCCATCATATATTTCTGCTGCTACTCATACAAATGACTGAGGGGAGGAGGATATAGAAGAGTTATGTTTCAGATACCTCTTACAGAGCATCTTCTGGCTAATTCCCAGAACACCAGGCCGAGCGAATAGATGTCTGCTCTCTTAAATGACTCAAAGTTGTTCATGTTGATTGACTCGTCCAGGATCTCTGGAGCCATGTACCTGCAGAGAACAAAGTCATTAGAGGCTAATAATGTGAAAAGGCTAGACAAACAGCACTACAGCCCTGCACAGGTCATTTGTTTTATTACCTTGTGGATGTGGCTCCCTTTATTTAGACTAGATGAAATTAGTGCGTAAAATACTTTGGAGAATTTCTTCTTTTATTTATTTATTTTTTATTTTTTTGAGAACTCATAGAAGTCAGCCCTGATTTAAGCCATTAAGCAACGTTAATGGCTTAAACGTTGAGAGTGATGTTTAAGCCATTATGTCAATGGTTAATGTAATGACTTAAACATATCTCTAGGAGGCGCCACAGTAGCAGTAAAGTAGCCTGGGTCTGTTTTCCTACAAGAAACACTGCTGAACTGTGGTTCTGCTATTCTTATCATTCTTGCCTGTCAGCTCTTTAAAACTACATACACAGGCTGTCAGAGTCCGTCTATTTACCATTCAGACTGAATAGACCTTTATTTCCACTGAATAGACCTTTATTTCCACAAAATATGAAATAACTTTTTCTTTCATTGCCAGCTTGCCATGCAAGCACTTTCCGATCACTTCAGTCTGATTTTAGGTCTTTGTTTTGCAGCTGTTAGCTGTTTTGCTCTAACCTCTTAGTTCCCACTCTGTGGTTGGACGGTATGTCTATGGTGTTTGTGCTGGAATCATGTTTAACAGCTAAGCCCAAATCTGCGATGACTGCCGTTCCATTCCTCTTCACAAGGACATTTTTAGACTTTAGATCTCTGTGAGCGATAGCGGGTTTTCCTAGAAGCAAAACAATAAAAATATGAGATTAGGAGAATCTCAAATGGTTTTTTTTATGGACCAATGTGGCATTAGAAAGCATAATAGCCTGTATTGAGTGGTAAGAGAAGTACTTATTACTGCTCACTAGCACCTCTGGGAAAAGATGTCAGGAATTATAACCACCAGTAATTTTGCCAAAGAAATACAAAAATAAAACTCTTTTTTTTTTCTCAACATCTGATTTCCCCCTAATGAAAACACGTTCTCCGATTAAATTATATTTTTTTAGTAATTTACAAAGCAAAATATTTCTGCTGCCAGAAAAGATGCATTATTTTACACATCTTCAATGGTTCTGCCAAAAACATGTGGAAGGAGCAGCATATTTCAAGAAACTAAAGGGTACATCTTCAAAGTAAATAGCTGCCTTTTAAAGAAAGACAGAAAAACTCAGGAAATGAAAAGAAATGACTGCATCTGATGAACATTAAAGTAAATAGTTGGGTTATTTTCTATGAAAGTTAAGAAAAGCTGTACCTTGTGTGCCGATGATTTCCATGTGAAGGTGTGCCAGTCCACTGGCTACAGACAAAGCCAAAACAACCAGGCCCTCCACTGAGACTGTGTACCTGTTCAGGTAGTCATACAGGGAGCCATGCTCATGATACTCTGACACCAACCAGAGCTGGGTCCACGAGCCATTATCTGCAGATAACAGCAAGGTACGCTATGAAATGTCAACACATTCAGGCCACATGTATGATTTGTTCATTTCATAAGCTTGCTAATCTGATACCTTTGTTATCAGCAGCAATGAAGCCAAGAATATTTTCATGCCTGAGCATGATAGTTTGATAAATTTCTGCTTCCCGGAACCAGGACCTCTCGTCCCGTGAGGAGAAGATCTTCACAGCTACATCCTCCCCCCGCCACTTGCCACGCCAGACCTCACCAAAGCGACCTTTCCCAATGGTCTCCTGCAGGACGATGGTCCGAGCTATAGTCCTCTGAACCAGCAGTGGTAGACCTGAAACATGAAGCTCATATGACTCAAATGGCAATATTTTGCATACCTTAGAAACCCAGAGTAAGCCTGTTGAACCATTTACATTTTGACATGTTACAGCTTCAAAACATTTGTATTTTAGTGGGGTTTTATATGATAGACCAACATAAAGTAGTGTGTAAAAGTAAATAAGGAATGGGTTTGAAACCTGAATGTAGACCATGAAACAGACATGTCAAGCGAAAAGTTATGAAGTTTAGAGAAGAATTCAATTATAAAACTATATCCCACGCTATGGACACCTCATGTTCAATCCATTTCTTGGCCCTGGAAAGGCTACGTCATAAACACCAATCATCTGAGGTGTGGCCATCCACCTAAAGAACAGCAATTAAATAAAGAACCAGCCAAGAAAGACACAATATGTCTGGAACAGCTTCAGAGGTCCACAGCTAAGGTGGGAGTATCTTTAAGCACAATAACTACTGGTTGCGCACTTCTGGTCTTGATGAAGAACAACAAGAAGAAAGCCATTTGTGACAACATAACCATAATAAGTTCAATGTTTGCTTTGTTACAAGTTATGATGGAGATACAAGAAGCTATGGTCACATGGCAGCATCTCGCTGAGGGGACTTTTTTCTTCAACAAGTATCATATGCTTGATGAAGTTAATGAAAGTTAGATTAAGTTAAATATGAGGAAGAACTGAACTGATTTCATGTGAATTGGACTGTGCATATTAATGAATGAACAATATTGTTGCAATTACATTGAATTTAGGCAATATGCTAATTTCCATTCTTAGTCCCATAAAATATCTTGCTAAAAATCAGAGAAGACCTAATACTGGGGTGAAGGCTTGTCTTTCAGCTGGACTAAACATATGGCACTCCACAAAACATAACTAAACATACAGGGTCAGATGCCCCTATTGCTGTGTGAATAAGTGCTTGGTGAAGACACAGCAAGAGAAAAGGATCAGAAAATAAAAATCTCAAAAATGCTTAAAATTGCTTTTAAATGTAGATAATATTTGTATATAGGTAGATAATGTTTGGCTTAGATCAAAAATGTAATAGCTTAGATCAAACTATGCATGTCTTCAAACAGGCCATATTTTCAAGTTGATGTTAATGGAGGCTCTTTATCCAGTCAGACTGAACCTGGGCTTTTTTGGAATAAAAAAATAGCTAAATGTTTGGTCTCAGAATGGTAGATACATACACAAAAATATGTAACTGAATACAAAGGCATGTTACATTTGTATAATTTTTTCACAGATATTTAGTTGTGAAATAATTCAGAAAACCTTCTGTCCTTTTTCCGCATGCTTCAGAAATATGCAATAATTTGCATTGCTTTATCACATAAAATATGCATATAATATGAAAAAAACACACTTAAATTTGTAATTGCAATATGAAAACAACAAGAAATCTCAGGCTGTATGAATACATACTGTAAGAGCCTCATTGAGAACTAATAGGACAACCCTCACCTGACCCTGAGCCAGATGTGCTCATGTCATAAATCAGATCTTTGAGGCATTTATCAGGAGACATAAGCATCTGATCATCCAGGGGCTCCTCGGAGTCTTGCTTATGGGCTCGGCCGTAGGCACAATGGTGTCCCTGGACGACACACACCCCCAGCAGGATCCCCACACACAGCAAGCAGGAGGGCACCAGGATCACCACCGTGAGCTGCAGTCTGCTCCAGCCCGGCTCCTCTGAAGGCCTCTCTGATGGTGGACACATTCTCAGCATTATTTGCATTTTACTGCATCCTTAAAGGCTTTAGTTTCTGAAGAACAACAGCAAACAAGCTTTTAAGAGGATTTACGTCTGAGATTCTTGTCTCTTTGCTCCCCCTGGTGGTGTTTTCTCTAAATGCCGGGTGTGTGGCACTCCACAAAACAGCATATTATCAGCAGCTGTTGCCAAAATTTTCTCCCTGATTGAAATACTAAGGGTTGAAAAGGCACACTTTGTGCTTTGCAAATTGAAGACACTGCTGCACGAATACAAACAGATGTCGCTAATTTTAAAGGCGGAAACTCATTCTCCAAATGCACCGCTCTAGATGCGAAATCCCTGTTTTCCCTGAGAACCAGAACATTTAATCAATGCCCATAAATGCTATTAATCAAGCATGATAAGGAGGCTTTTAGCAAATATAATCTTTGCTCTGCAGAATGTAAAATACATTTTATTTCTTAAAATCAAAATACTTCTTCCAAATTAAAGTTTTTGGTGTATACTGATTAAAAGCAGGTGCACTTGTTGTAAAAAATGTAGGTTTGGCAGGGCAAAGTAATTTGACACCTCTGTCTGTGACCTTCATTGTGTCTGTGGGAGGCATCAAAAATAGCAGAGCAGGTGGGTACTACGATAACATGAGATCTACAGGCATAAAAATGCTGTGCAGTACCATGCAGAAGTGTTCACACCCGTTTACCATTCTCACATTTTGTCACAGTGTAACAACAAACTTCAGTGTCTCTGATGTAAATCATTTCATTATATGTTCCAGCTGCATGGTAACGGTTGTCATTTTGGAAGGTAACTTCTCCCTCACCTCAAGTCTTTTGCATCCTCTAACATGTTTTCTTCAAGATTTGCCCTGTCATTACCTTCATCTATTAGCAACTTACCTGTTCCTGCTGGAAAAAAAAAATCCACACAGCATGATGCAGCCACTACCATGTCTATGTATTTAGTTTAATGTGCTGTGTTACTGTTCCACCCAACAACATGGTGATTAGAGAAATATAATCCAAAATATGTTAACTCTCATTTGTGTGTATGTTTCCTATGTTTTCAACATGGCTGAATACCAATCCATGCCACACCATTCAATTTTCCATTCAAAAATGCACAATTACACACTGCTTTGTATTTATATGTAATGGCCCCAAATCTATTTAGATTTATCCATAAATCTAAATGTATATAACTCAAACAACATTTGAAAAGTCATTTTACAAGGTGCTGAAATAGTACAACAGAGTAAAAGTCTTTTGAGATGGGATATTAACGCACACATGCTATGATTTAAATATAATTAAAATTCAACTTCAATCTTAGGAAAGTGTTTTTGTTTTTCCTGAGATGGACTCACCAGCTGATCCTCAAGCATTCATTATGTACAAATCGACAATTGTGAACTTAACCACAGTGTCCTAAGATCCCTTTAGCCTTTTACCCAGTTCATATCCTGCCAACTGAGGCGCCAAGTGAAGATCATCAGATATTATGCAAAACAAGACCTCACTCTCTTCTGTCCCAGTGGCTTAAGACCTTAAGATCAAGTATGTGTCTAAGACACAGGCTGCTTGAAAATGATGCTCAACAGGCTTGAAAATGAATAAAGGAAGACATTGATAGCCACATTTAAAATGTTTCTCATTTCCAGAGAGGCTACACATGATGTTAGCACATACTGCTATTTAACAGGACAATGAAACCCATCGATTTCGCTGTCCTCATTCTCAGTCAACACTATCAACCCCTGAGGGTCTTGACCCCCATGACCTTATGCACCCATTGACATGCAGATTCATCTTGCACAGTAAATCTGCTGCATTTTACTGAAATGTTAGAAAATCTACCCCTCACTTACTTTAGTTTGAGTCCTTTTTGTCAAAACTAATATTTTTTTATTTCTAAAGTGGTCACACATTTGTATTCTTTTTTTTATTAAATATTATTAAATTGACCTAAAAAGGCATCCGAAAGTTTACAAACACTATTTTCACCCAGAGCAATGCGATTCTGTTTCTGTATAGTTTACTTTCATCTAACATGTAAAGACACATTTTCAGACTTTGGACATTTGTAGTTAGTAAACTCTGTTCTTTCTCTAAAAACGTGTTACTTACTAATTACAGAAGGGGCGTGTAGAGTTTTTGAATGGAATAAATAGAGCACATGTTTTAGAAGACAACCATTTTTGCTGAATTACAATGCTGTACAAAGGGTTTGTCTTCAGGGATTTAGACTTTCTTGTAATGTTTAAAAGTCTTTTGTAATTGTTCTTTTTTCCAAAATGTAATAGATTCTTAATCAACAGTTATTTAGCCTTTGTTAAAGTTTTGCTTTGGACTTTAGCTCATTTTTCATTCCTTTGTTCACTAAGCTTCTTAATGCTGATCTTTGAATCGTTTAGCCATGAACAAGCTGCTAAACTCAGGGAATGAACATGTGTTGTGTCTCTACAATAAAGGCAACTTTACAAACAAGCGTTAAATTAGATATTTGTTCCTATTTTTTGGTTGGCTATGTTAGGAACAGAAACAAATACAAGTGACAGACAGAACATTGTTTTTTAGCACCTAAAAAGCATCTAAAAAAACAATTTTTAGAAAAAAATGTAGACTCTTGAACATTTCTACATTTTGTCCCATTTTATTCATAAATCTAAATGTATTTTGCTGGGAAATTGTGTTGCAGGAGAATACAAAGCAATGCATAATTGTGAACTGGCATAATAGAAATCTGTGTTCAACCCACATTGGTTGAGTCGCCTTTCACTGTAAATGCAGCTACAAGTCTTTATGTCTCTATCAGCTTTGCACCTTTAGATAATAACATTTGTGCCCATTCATTCAAACTGAATTGACACCTTCTATACATCAATTTTCAAGTCTTTCCAAATATTGTCAATTGGATTTAGGTTTGACTGAGTGATAAACACATATATATGCTTTGATGTAAACCATCCTATTGTAGCACTCTGGCTGTTCAAAGTCATAACCTAGCTCTAATGTGAACCACCAGACCTGAATCAAATCCTGCAAGCTTTGATTTTTCTGTATTCAGCTCCGTTCGTGTTTCCTAAAACTACCACCAGTTTCCTGGCTCGTGCTGAAGAAAAGTATCCCCCAAAGCATGACGCTGTCATTATGAACTTTTTCATTAAGATCTGATTTATTTATTTTCTGACGCTGTATTTTCTGACAAACCTCAGAGGTTTTCACAGAACTGTGTTATGATGAGAAGAAATCACACATAGGTTGGTTACAGAATAAGGAAAGTTTTATATAAACCTCTAATTATAAATGCAAAAACATTCAAAAGGGGTGTGAATACTTTTGCAAGCCAGAGTTTATTTGTGAATACATATGTGCTGACAACAGAACAAATCTGTTTGACGTTTTCTACGACTTGTGGATTTTTGCATGAAGTGGCAGTGAAGTTGAGCCGACTGGTTATATGTCAAGCAAACAGCAAATAGACTAACGTGGTATAAAGTGAAGCTTCCACAGATTTCCATTGAACTCCCAAGGTGTGAAAAAAGCCTCCCTGTGCTTTGGGCCATTTTCTACCCAGCAGAGAGGCTCCCTGAACAACATGCCTGACAAAGTATTTATTTATAAATCAGGGGAGGGCCGTCGCATAACCTCTGCCAGCTTTGTTATGTCACAGGATCTAGGCGGATCAGCATCCACCTCGTCTGGCCGGGACCAGAATGAGTGGAAAATCCCTCACAGATCGGACTGTTGTTTCTGTTGACTGAATAAAATTACTGAGACTAACAGACGGAGGAGATGATGGGTTTTATGCTTTAGTCTATTTGCCAAAAAAAATTGTCATCGGACACAGATTAGATGAAAATGACCTAAAATACAACAGATCCAAAAGTGGCCGAGTAGAAAAGCACATTTCTGGTTATACCTCGGTGCAGGTGCAGGGTCTCATTGTTGCAGAAGTCGGTGAAGCAACAGTTCCTCTTGGAGACGTTTTTGGAGCTGTAGCAGAAAAGTTGACCCTTCATCTGGGAGGGAGAGATGCAGGATTTGACCGTCTCCTCCTTCCCGTCAATCAGCATCACAGAGTTCCAGCAGGCTCCGTCTGCGGCCGTCTCACAGGTGTAGTTGGCACACAGCGGGCACACACACTTCAGACCTGAAACACACACACACACACACACACACAAAAAAAATCAGATCATGTTTATGACTTCTCCCCCCCACACCCTCACCCACTGGCTAATTCATCAATGTGTGGAGAAAAAGCACCGAGACAAAACAGTTTTACTCTCAGCCTAGTCGCGGCTCCTGCTGTTACATAAGAAAATCTGAGCTCTTAAATGGCAGGAGGTGGAGGAACCACAGTAATGCCTCTTAGATTAACACCCACATAATCTTGTGTTCTACTTGCAGCTGTCATGCTTTATTTGATAAGCCGCTGAATGACTGATGAGCAAGATGGCCCGCAGCAGATAACCTGGGAAATAAATGGATGAATGTCGCACAGTGTCAAACGAAACCAGCCAGAAGGTAGTTCCAATTGCATGAATGGGAAAAATAGATACTTATGTGTAATTAAATAATTCACACATTTGGATATTTGAAAGTAAAATCACTGAAACACACATTTTGTAAATAAATGCATTTTTGAAAAATGACATTTACAGCTAAAATTTATACATTTATTCAGAGAACACTTAAAAAAAGTTCAGAGTTAAAAACTGACAGTGAACAAATAAAGAAAGGAAATCATCTCTGTGAAAAAGATGGAAAAGGAGCCCTGACATGTCCGTCCCTAACAAGATTCTGAATGCTGTGACTTGTTTACATTTACATTAAGTTAAGGTCAGTCATATGAGGCAAATTTTAAAGGTTATAAAACCCATTAGTCTCAAACCATTTTTCCAGAATCAGCTGTGTCCAAACTATTTTGTATCATTTTAAAAATGTGAGAAAACCAGACCATCTTTGGTATTCTCTGTGGGTTTTTTTTTTTATTTTTAAGAAGGGCATGAGAAAAGGAATGAAGGTGGCCAGGTTGAATATAGCAAGACCATTAAAACCGTAGCAGAAAATTGCTGGCAAGATTGAGAGGAACACCGTTTAAATTTACTGTTTGACTGTAACCCTGAGGTGAATTAATCGCTCTGAGGTGTTTCTCTGTGTGTGCAAACCGTTAAGGCAAAAATTACAGGGAAACCTTTCATGTCTCCATCAGAACAAAATTTGGTTTCTGCAACAAAACATCATAAAAGCCCGGTGCATCTGGAAACAAGTTCATTCAACTAATAATATAAAATAGATCTCAAACAACAGTGTACAACAAATGAGCTCAATGAGAACACAAGAAAGTACCAGGTGATGAAAAGAGAACACCTGTAAGAGGCATTATGGTTTGCATTGCAGATCAAGTTCCCTTCAAAACTCATAACTTTATTTCCTTTTCTAAACCAAATTATTCTCTACTGAAGAGTCATTCAGTCTTTAGGGCTGTTGCTTCACAGCAAAGAAGTCGAGAATCAAATTTCAGTGAGGCCTGCATGCGTGGAGTTTATGTGTTTTCCTGGTGCGTGCCTGAGTTCCCTCCCCAACCCAGTCATCACATGCCTGTTAGGTATCATGTCTCTAAATTGCCTTTATGAGTGAATTTGTTAATACACAGTAGTTTATCCTGTTTGTCTGTATTGTTGCCCTGTGATGGAAAGGCACCCCACCCAGGCTGCACCCTCCATCTCAATCCCCTGCTGCCTTGAAAGGACCCGACCACCATGTAGAACTAATACCCTAAAATAATAAAGAAGAAAAAAATAACACCTTTTTTTTTCTTTTTACACACTTTTCCACAAATAGCATCTCATAAAAGAAAATGAATCTTTTAGCAAAAGTTATGTTTGTCTTTATTTTAAAATATAATAAAATGAAGGTTCTTCAAAAACAATTAAACTGTTAGAATCAAGACCGGTAATGAATAATAAAAAGAAAAAGTAAAGGGGAAATTATTTGCTTTCCAATTCTGTGACTTGTTTACATTTAACTAAAGTAAGGTGAATGTAAACGGTCAGGTGAGGTAAGGCAAATCTTAAAGTTTCATGAAATCCATTCCTTCTCAAGCCATTTCTCCAGTCGTCGCAGCAATTTTCCATCATTTTAAAATGTGAGAAAAGTGAGTTTTCAGACGTAGTCGGTGTTCTTTGTTCTTCATCTTTTAGAAAATAAATAATAATAATAAAAAACATCAGATGAAAGAAATGAAGATGGCCAGGTTGAAGTTACAAAGACCATAAAAACCGTAGCAGAAAATTTCTGGCTGGATTAAGAAGAACATCATTTAAATTTACTGTTTGACTGTAACCCTGAGGTGGATTAATCAGGCTGAGGTGTTTCTCTGTGTGCAAACCGTTAAGGCAAAAATTACAAGAAGGAAACCTTTCATGTCTCCATCAGAACAAAATTTGGTTTCTGCAACAAAAGATCATAAAAGCCCGGTGCATCTGGAAACAATTTCAATCAACTAATCATATAAAATAGTTTTGCAACAGTTTTGAGGACTGTTGCTTCACAGCTGACAGTAAGGGCCTGCAAACATTGGAGTCTGCAAGTTTTCCTTAGGTATGCCTGCGTTCCCTCCGCAACCAAATCCTCACATGCATGTTTGGTATTTTGTCTCTAAATTGCCCCTGTGTGTGAGTTTGTTTCTATGTGGCCCGGGACAGAAAGTAGTTCTGCCCAGAGTGTTCCCCGCATCTTGACCCCCTGCTACCTGGTCAGGATCCATGTGAAACAACTCGTATCTCTTAAACCTGAATTCCTGAATAGCTTATGAAAAACGCAAACACTACATTTCTCCGGTAAAATACTCCACACGCTCTTAGTTTTACATAAGTCGTCACAGAAATGTGCACCTTTCATGACGGCGTCGCCTTTGCCTCGGGAATTGTCACGATCAAGACAAAAGTCTTGAGGTTCATCAAGACGTTTTTAGGCAAATGTGAGACTTCAGTTATCAGAACTAAAAATGACCCGATTCAAATGGGACACAGTGATTTAGATGTTGCCATGTGTTCCTTTCTGATCATCTTTTGTGATCACCCTCATTCCTGGTTGAATTTCTTCAGATTGGCCACAAGATCATTTAGCCAACTTCACATAGTGACTCAAGTTTTATTTATTTTATTTAAACTCGAAAATGATTTGAAGCGTTTAAGTGTGATAAAAGAAGACAAAAACAAACAAAAAAATCTAGAAGGCAGCAAATGCTTCGTCTTTCAGCACTGTAAATACTTTGAGTTGCTTAGTGACAAGCTTGTCACGAACATTCATTTTTTTCAGCTGTTTCTGAAAGTGAAAAACAGGGACTTTGTATTTTCTGCTGTTCACGTTTGGCGGACGAGTCACGTAAACCGGCATTGTGTTTACGACTACACAAGTCTACTCCTATACTTAACTATACTGTCTGCCATTCTCTGGTTATAGTGTAAAACTTTAGACACTCCAATGTCTTTTTAAGGAAACGGTGTGTGTAATATATCTGTGATGCTTGTGTTTGGAAGTATAGCTTTACTTAAACAGTCACCACAGCTGGACTGAACCTCAGACAGTATAATATGATAATAACAAAGTTGAGCTCCAGCACAACTCTCCCATCTTATTTTCATTCCTGAATTCTTCTCTGGTCTGCATTTCCCACACTTTCCTTTGCAGTGTCTATATACGACTCCTCTTTGGGGATTTTTTTTTTCTATTTTATTTTTGAATGAGAGCAGATTTGTTGGTCCTTTTATCTCCAGAGATAGAGCTAACACAAGCAAAACAAATCATTGAGGAAATCAGATTTAGCTAAACAAGACAGAGGTGTCCGAGTCATTTTGGGCCTTCAAAGTGTTAACATGGAGTGTTTATGGATTGTGGACACAGTCCACACCGCAGAACAGGGGTGTCAAACTCCAGTCCAGGAGGGCCGGTGTCCTGCAACTTTTAGATGTGCCTCTGCTGCACCACACCTGACTAGAATAATTAGGTCTTTAGCAAGGCTCTGGGGAACTGATCTACACAAGGAGGAGGTAATTAAGTCATTTCATTATAGTGTTTTGTACCTGTGGCACATCTAAAAACTGCAGGACACCGGCCTTTGAGGACTGGAGTCATCATCACTGATTCTAAATACGCATCCCTGTTCTCTTAAAATAGACATTCTGGTTTTCCAGCACCTTTGCTGGAATGTGCATGTGTTTTTGTTTTGATTTTTTTTTTATGTCCATTTGATCATTTTTGTTTTCTGTTCCCTCATGTTGAGAGAAAATATTTGCAAAAAAATATTGCTGAAAGACTTTTTTTTCAGGGAAACTACATTTTCATAAAGAGGAGTCAAAGATCCATCGATTTGACAGGAACACCTCGTTTCTCTTAGTGACAGCCTAAACTATATTTGGACCAAAATGACAAAAAATAAATAAATGAGTGAATACGGCCAGCAGCTGAAGCAGTGAGATCACGAGAACTACTTTCAAACAAAGAAAACTGAGAAGCGTGGGAGAAAACATGCCAAAACATTGAAAATAATAGTGTAAAAACAAAAAAAAAATATCTACAAATAAGTTAAAGAATAAAAAAAATCTATTCCATTGTTTTATTCTTAAAACTCACACAGTTTTTTGAATGCCAACTAAAACAGCCGGGCTCTGGCATATTTGGATGGTGACGTAGCGATGGAGTAGTCAGAGAACATCTTGTTTTCTAATGAAAATGGCATTTTTTAACAGGATTGTGTCAAATGAGTGTGCAGATCTTTATTGGCAAAACAGAAATAGGGATGGAGTTTGAACTTCATCTGGGCAGGAGACTCAGATCGATTTTGTGAACATATTTCTCCAAAATCACCAACAACAATCTCTTTGTTGGAAACTATTTTTGCCTTAGGATTATAAAACAATTATAATCTTATATTTAAAGTAAGAAACCATCCAAAGCCGATGAATAGGTGCGTAAACTTTGAGAGGTTTTCCCTGGAACAGGATTTGCTCCATGTGTGAGTCAAATCAAGGAGAAGGTGGTTCATGTGCAGCATTAGCTACTCTGGACTTTTAGGTGCTGGGCATTTTGTGAAAAAACAAACTGCAGCAGGCGAATAGAATTTGAGAGGCATTACAGACAGAACGTTTTGACAGGTAGTGAGTAAATCTCAAAATCGGCTATTCTGGTCACGTAGTTGCGATGAGGGACGTTCTGACGCGTCTGTTCACATCTGAGTGACAACAATAATTCCACCTGAATGCTGTCAAAATGTAAGTATTTCAAATTCCAGTTTTTATTTATTTTTTTTAGACAAGCAGCAGTTATTCTCCACGGTGGCAGACTGGATGAGCCACAGAACAGTTCAAATCTCTCCATAGACTGCCAGTTTGTGAAGTCTTCTTGTTTGCGCAATATTTCTCCTGACTTCTTCCTCCTCGACAATAAATAGCCATATAAATATTTACCTTGTGAATTTGTAGACCTTGCTGCTTTCACTACTTTTTTTGGGTTGGCCACAAAAAGGGTTTTAACTGCATTTTTGGCAGTCTTGAGCTCATTCTGATTTTCTCTATGTGTGTCATAGAGACAAATATACCATCAGTGCCAAGAAAGGAAAAGTTACAGTCATTTAAAAACCTGCTAATGCAGCATCTATTAGATGCTTGCTCAACAAATATTGTTTCTGACATTAGGAGGCATTTGTATTCTGCTGGAAGTTCATTCGCGCTCGTTTCTCATCAGATCACACTGTGACGGCGGTGACCTCTGAACTCTGGTGAGGCTGAAGCTGCAGATTATTCTCATCAATTAATTTGGTGACATTCAAATAAATGCTCCACTGATGCTTTGCTCTGACCAAACCAAAATCCAGTCACATTTATTGGAAGCCAAGGAAACCATAGTTTGACTGCAGTGGCAAAATCTGAGCAAATAATTTGAGCACATTTATTAATTTAGGTAACATCCAGTATTAGGGAGTTATTGTTTTTAACAAAACTATCTGTTGTCAATATGTTGAAGACGACTGATTGTGTGCCTGATAAACCATTTCTGTGCTTCTGGATCATTAACCTTGTTAGTCACCCTATCATAGCCCTTAATATGTGCAATACAATAACAATTTATAGGAGTTTAAGCAGAGACGGGACAGCTGCTTTGCTTGACAGTTCAAGCTGCTCAGATTCTTTTACATTATGTATCTAACTGCAGATATGGACAGGTTTAGACAGGTAGCTGTTTTCCTGTTGCTGTTTTCTGACTTTATGGCATGCTCCCTTCTGTTTTCTGTTTTGAAGAGTATTGGACATGACATGTGAAACAGAGTGGAAAAAAAAATAAAGTTGTGAGCCTCCTAGAAGATCTTCGAAACGCTGTTAAACTTCAAAAATCTTTAATTAAAAAAAAAAAAGATTAATTTCCGTTTATCTTGATGAGATTGCCAGGTTTGTCAATAGAAACTTTTACATTTAAATAAAAGTAACTAAACTTTGCATTACACTGAATAAATGCATTCAAATTAAAAGCCGAGTTGACAATTTGTGTCAGGTTGTGCAATAGAAACTGCATTTAAGTTTGTTTTGTCACTGCAAGTTATGTTTTTGTCTTTATAAATGAAAAATGCAACATCAACAAGTATAAAAATGACCATAAATAAGTGAATTTTTCTTTGATTAGTCTCATTGTGATGGATGATAGAATCGCTCAGGTCTGATAAAGACGTCCTGCACTATTGCACAATCAGCATACAGAGAATACAACACTTGGTTCGAGGAGCAACATAAGTCTAGCTGTACGTGGGGAAAGGTTGAAGAAAAACTTAATTATAAAGGTACAACTCAATTTCTTTGTTTTCTTACTTTCACAGCTTTTTCCAACAGGAAAAAAAACCCAAACAGTTTAGGATTAGTGGCGTGCATACTTCACAGACCAACACGTTACATTGGTGATGCATTAACCCAAACTTTATAGAGCCATTAAGAAAAACAAAAACAAAACAAAAAATCAAGAAACGACAAAAACAACTCCTGTGTTTTGACGCACACGCAGACAAGCAGCCTACCTGAGGTCAGCTGGGCGACGCACAGCAAGATCAACGCCACCTGAAAGCTCTGCTCCCCGGCAGCAGTCATGGCAAGAGGCGCATTTGCTCCCCCGCCTGAGCGCACCGTCTCCACCGGCGTAGAGCTACTCGACGGAGACCCCCGGGACGCGCATCGTGCTTTTGTTTTGCTTCTTCTCAACGGGAAAGTCCGTGCACTCCCCGCGACCCGCCACAGTGAAACCGATCTGGGAGGAAGCTGCAAAGCGCTGCTCGCTCCGCCTCTGCTGACCGGGATTTGGGAGGATTAGCGCCGCAGACCTCCGATCCAGACATGAGGACGGAGCGGAGTGAAAGTGTGCAGCAGCAGCAGCAGCGTCCGTTTAAGAGCAGCCCGGTCCACCTCCACCTCCTGCCACTGATGAATATGGAAATGACCCCCTGCCTGCACGCACAGTAAATACAATCAAAAGAAACATCAAAACTGTGGGAGAAGTTACATGTGATGATTGTTATGTAACGTTTAGACGATTTTAATGGATTAATTGTGACATTTTCTAACTGAGACACATCGAGAGTGACCTGAAAAGGCTTTGCTTTTGCATCTGCACAAATAGAGCAAATTGCAAATGAACAACCCCTTAAAACCTGCATCAATGTGAAAAATGTTGGTAATATTTTTGTTTAATATGTTTTACTTCAATAGCCACCAAAATAATGAATAAATAAAACATAAGCAACTCAGTAGAAGATAACAGGAGGAGTAGTTTTGGCCCACGTTTCTTTGCACTGTTCAAGCATCTCAGTCAGATTTAAATTCCAGGCTTTGACTAGGTCACTCCAAAATCTGAGTCCCTATTTTTGCTTCATTCAGAAATGACTTTACCAGCGCGCCTCGGGTTATTGTCTCGATACATAACCAAAATGCATTTCAACTCAACATCAAACACTGAAAGATTTTCCTTCCTGATTTCCCGAAAGAGACCAGAATTCATTGCTTCAACTCTGGCAAGCAATCCAGATCCTGAAGAAACCAATCAGACTCAGACCATCACACCACCACCACCATGTTTGACTGTTTGCATGATGTTCTTTTTCTCAAATTGTGTGTGTGTGAGTTTCAAACCATTATGTAACAGCATAGCCAATGAAATAGTTCCACTTTTGTGTCCACTCATGACACATAATATTTTTCCAAAGGTCTTGGGATCATCAAGATGTTTTCTGGTAAATGTGAGACACACTGTTGTGTCCTTTTTTGTGGTCATTTTTGTGAGGAAACTGTTCCATTTCTTCCAAGGCCAAGGTCTAAAACAACCTTGGAACTCATTCGTAGTTCTCATGTTGAGTCATGAGTGCTCACCTTTACTGAAGCAAGCACGTCTTTCTGTCTTTCGATCTTTTGTCTTCCTGGTTGAGAAGTTGGTGGAGTAACTGCTGGAACAATGACTTAGATTTAGATCTCACCATTGTTGCTTTTTGACATCCTTTATCACTATTTTGTTTTTCATAGTAATATATAATAAAAATACATTACAAACAATAAAATATATTTTTCTATTTAATTGAAATAACTTTGGACAAAGAAATGAAATTCTCTTATGTGATTTATTTCCACTGGTTCATTGTTCTTCGTGCTCTTTTGTTACAGTAAATTGTTAACATTTCACAACATTTTTCAAATGTTTTCCTGTCTTCCGATTTCTTCGCATGTTTGGTGATTTTCTCACTCATTACTTTTTTCTTCACGTTTTGTGAGATTTTCTTTATTTAATCTCTAAAACATGTGCTTTTCAGCTGTGTCCTTCTTCCTTTCTGTTTTGTTGTTCTGTTGTCTGAACTAATGCTATGTTTTGCTCTGCGAGGCCACTACGGCCGTGTGCTTCGGCCAGCAGTCCAAGTTACACCACAGGGGATGTTGCAATTCCTGTCCCAGGATATGAGCAGCCCAAATGGAGGGAAACCTCGCCACCTTTGACAGTGGTGCTCGACTTTGCTGAGCTTGTACTCCGTTGCAAAACTTGTCTGCATGCAAGAAGTTATTTACTGCGTGCGACTTCTGGCCAGAGTCGTGCTTGCATTGCTCAGACTCCACAGCAACAGCAGATGCCTGTGTCGCCAGGCAGAGAGAGGGGATGAAGGAGCTTCTTCATCAGCACGATGGAAAACATGCTTTTGCCAAGCTTTTAGAAAGTGGAACCATTTCCCACATAGCAACTCCAAAGTTGATTGTCTTTCATTGGAGTTTTATGTGATCAACTAATATAAAGTGGGAAATGAAAGCAAACTAGAAGTAAATACAGCAGGTAGGGCTGTGGAGACGCTCAATGCAGGTTGAGGTTATAAAACATCTTAAGATGTTGAAGGAAACTGTGTGAGCCATTTTCTTGAGTCTGAATGGCTTCATCTGAGTCCAGATTTCCATCCAATTGAAATTCATTTGCAAGATTTGAAAGGTTACGCTTTTCATCCAATCTGAGCTTGGGGTGTTTTGCAAAAAAAAAAAAAAAGAAAAGAAAAAAAAGTGGTGAAAAACTCTAGTCTTTAGATGTGGAAAACGGGTAGACGCATACCCAAAAAAAGAGCTGCAACTTTAGTTGTTTTTTTAATGCATACAGATGCAGCAGATTTTCATTTGTGAACAATTCAACATTGTTTTTTTTTTCCATTTCACAACTATGAGGCACTTTGTGTTTAGCCAACATGACAAATGTGAAAAAGTTTTAGGGATGCGATATGTTTACCATTATGTAAATATAGATGACTAAATAGCAGTGGAAGCAGGTGAGACCAGACCCTTTGTGCTAACTGGATATGGCGCTGATGTAATCACCACAGTGACTGGACCATTTGGAAAAAGAAAGAGTCATCAGTCACAGGTTAAGGATCATACATTTCTGGAGTAAGATTTGTTGTTGACACAAGTCAGACATTAAATTATTTAAACTGAAGATCTTGTTCACATACGACTAACAGCTTAGGTCCTCTCGTTTAAATGGTCAGTTTCAAACCAAAATCAGTTTTTCCAGAAAAGTCATTTCTATAAAGCAACCATGAAGCTCTGATCTGAGTGAATACAGGGCATATTACATCAGTACAAATACTATGATCATTTTTGAATGTGAATTTGAAAACCATCTACCAAGTTCTCAAAGAGCACATCATGTTTCCATCTGCTTTAATAATATTCCTTTGCATTTATATGCAACTGAAATTGACTTCAAGAATGTAAAGTGGCTCTAGATTCTGAAATGTATCTGGAGCCAAGACTTTCTGCAACACTAATGCTGATGCAGAAAGTCAGCATTAGTGTTCCGACGTACACTATGAGCAGGTTTCACAAGTATTAAAAAAAATAGAGGTGCAATGAAAGAATTACATCAGCTGATTGACGTCTTGTGAAGGTCACCAATTTCTTGCTGGTTTTCCTCAGCAATAGATTGCAACAAAGACACCACTTTTGGTATATTTTCTAGAAACCCCATCAAGACAAATGAGACAGATATTTTTTTCTATTTAATTAATGGAAATTACTAATTGGTATAAAACTTCCAAGAAATGATAAAAAAAAGGCTTCAGTTTGACTTCATTTACTTGACAATGCACGCATTAGGACAACAATGCACGCGTTAAGACAGAATACAGGCTTTACAGGCTTACTTACAGGCCTTTGGAAAATTCAGCAGTAACTGGCAAATCTTTTATTTAAACTTGAAGCATCTGTGTGTCTGAAGCTGTAAAATATATATATAACTGTAAATTTAACATAATACATAAAACTGTTTGCAACACAGTACCTTTAGATGGATGATGCACATCAGCGAAAGCAAAAGAACCAGAGGCGCAGCCGTGCACCTTAATGTCACATTTCAGATTAAACGTATTCTTACAGCATAGTGAACGTTGGTGCATTAGTACAAGATGACGCCTCCTGATTGCAATTTTCTGCTGCAGATGTACATTAAGCTACCAAACTGGCCTGTTTTGTTCTATATCAATGTACCATAATGCAAATGAATGGAGTACAATTAAAGAGAAGAGTGAGACGGTTATGTCCAGATGTATTTTAAGCATTAAAAACATGGCAAACAAAATGTGCATTTCTATAATACAAAAAAAAAAAAAAAAAAAAAAAAAAACAATAAGCCTATTCAAATGCCCAGGTAACAGTTTCTTCCTTGAAGAAGGTTTTTAACAGTCCAGCTCCTATGTCATAGATTGAATTGATGTTTTCATTTTCTCCAAGACTACATGAGCCGTCTTTGGATGCCAAAATGTGTCCTGCCTAGCATTTTTAAAATAAATATAGGTCTGTGCCACTATAAGGGCACTAAACCCATGAAGTCTTTAATCTTCTAAAACTTTCTATAAGATGTTCCATCCTCTGGATGTCTTTGAAGGCCTCTTCTTCTCAAGCAAAGGCTCATATGTCTATTTTGATTTTATCCAGCGAGTTGTCAATCTTCGTCAGAGTCTTTTTGATGCGCAGTGCGGTTAATCTGGCAGATGGGTTCTGGTACCAGCACTCCTTCATGAGTTTAGCCAAGGAGCTTAAAGTCTGCATGATGAGAAGAAATGATTCAGTGTATTTGTCAATGGCTGCAGCATGAAGTTATATGTTGTAACATCAGTATGTGTGAGTGAAACAACTGTTTGTTACTCACTGGGTCTGAGAACCATCTGTTTGGGATATTGGGCCTCTGCTGATCCACACACACCACCTTCTTCATGTCCTCAAAGCTGGGATCACTGGGGACCACGTCATGAAACGGTGGCTTATAGTCCTCAACAATGCCTACATGTAGAGGAGAGGATGCAAGCAAGCAAAAACAAATAAAAATTAATAATGATAAGTCACATTCTGTTCGATGGTTCACTGATGAATGCAACAAACATTTAGTCTTCTAAAGTTAGATTGCTGAGGTTTATTCAAGAAGGAAAAGTGGAAGTATGGAAAATTTTGCTTCTGATTCCTTTTATTTGTCAATGAAAGTTTTTAGGGACAAACAAAACATCACATTAATTAGCATACACAGAGTAGCTGCTGCAGACCAGCACATTAGGGGTCTGCATACATTTTATATTATCATGACAAGATGTAGATGATACTGAAATGGTTTTATAAATGGAGTGGTACTTTTCCAAATGATTTCTTTGGCAAATAATACATAAATTTATTGTAGCACAATAAAGAGTTGAAAACAGCAAAAATCTCGACAGTATGTTGCTGGCATGATGTTTGGCTAACCAACATTTCTAAACATCTAAAAGAAAACATGGTGGAATGGAGGCTCATTGAGGCCTTAATGTGATACTTATTCATTGATCATTAAAATCCCCCTC